ATGTTTTTGAGTATCGTGTTATCACAAAGAAGAAGAAAAAAAGGGCAAAATATAAACCCCGCCCACCCACCCTATCTCAATTGTGATGATTTTTTTAATTCTTAGAAACACGTTTAAAATGGTAAATTTTTGTAACGAAATATGGGTTTTGCAATTAGGCTCCGCCCCTAGGTCTACCAACGAATGAAAACTTCATTACAGTTTAGATCAGGACAGGTATGGGTGGGGCTTAATCTTTAGCTTTAATTTCCTCTTAATATACGTAGTATTATTTGAATAACACGATACTCAAAAACATCTCTTACATGGTACATAATAAGGATTTTGCAATTAAATTCCGCTTCTTTGGCTCTCGACGAGTAAAAAAATCATCACAATTGAAATAGGGTGCGTGGGCGGGGCTAATAAAATTTAAAACAATATTGGGGTTCTACGTATTCCTGTTTGGAAATAATTTGAAACTACTTTGGAGTCTCTAGTGTCTTTTTTATAATAATTTAATTAAATTTCTTGGAGGATACGTCATTTGCCAAAATCAGTCTTATCTTAGCAGGCACTAGCCCCGCCCACCCACCCTCTCTCTTCATAGAGGGTATGTCATCTGCCAAAATCAGTTTTATCTTAACAGGTATAGTATTCCAAGTGCTGGTTCGTTTTTACAACTGCATCCTATTGTGAACTAACTGTCTACACTGCACAGGGCCGTATGCGCCCGTAAACCCTTAAGAGAGGACCCGGTGGGTGAGGTGGCTTGGCATCTGCCCACTACACCTTGGGTCGTGGATTCGATTCCCGCTCTGTCTCTGGGTGTTTTTGTATGTCCCCTTTTCCTGTAATTGGGCCTCTCGGCCTGTTGGAAAAGTAATTATTAAAAGATGGTTTATCACACGGCTACTTACATTTTCAAAAGGGTTCTTAATACTTGCGGTAATTGAGAGTGCAGTGCAATAAAAACTTGGACAACTATACTAGCATTTTTTGTAAAAGTTAGTCATCAGTACTTGCTAGGATAAAACTGATTTTGGCAAATGAGATACCCTCTAAAAAAAAAGAGGACCTGAGGGCGGGGCTAGCATACCTCCTAAGATAAGGCTGATTGATTTTGGCAAATGACATACCTTCTAAGAAAAGAGAGGGCGGGTGGGCGGGGCTAGTACTTGCTAAGATAAGACTGATTTTGGCAGATGACATACCTTCTAGGAAAAGAGAGGGTGGGTGGGTGGGGCTAGTACCTGCTAAGATAAGACTGATTTTGGCAAATGACATATCCCCTAAGAAAACAGAGGGTGGGTGGGCGGGCCTAATACCTGCTAAGATAAGACTGATTTTAGAAAATGATGTATCCTCCAACAAATTTAATTAAATTATTAAAAAAAAAGTACTAGAGGCTCCAAAGCACTTTCAAATTCTCTCCAAGCAGGAATATAGTAGTCCAGGGTCTATAAGGTTATATGGTCATCATAAAATTATCCCATTGTGTCGAAGTTAAGTTGTTTACAATAGAAAAGGTTTTAGGGTCGTAAATAGCGTGTCCCCTGCAGCTCGACCGACTGTTGTCGTTTCGTTCAGAGGCGGCCTTCACTAAATATCTAAATATAAGCAAGAAATGTTTAGAAGTTTAGTGCGAACCACACAAAGGGGGTATTTATTTGCCGTCAACTACGTTTGTGATGGTCATATAACCTTATAGCTCTTGGACTACTTTACCTAAAACAGCAGCAATTGTTTTAAATTGTAGGTGATTAATAGTTAGAACAGATATTGGAGTTCACGATATTTGGATTGGAGTAGATGAAACCACAAATTTTAATGGACAATACGTTGCAAACATTGTAGTGGGAAAATTATCTCTAGAGGCAGCTGGTACGCCACATTTACTCGCATCGAAAATATTAAAAATAAACAATAACGTAACAGTGGCACGTTTTATCAATGAGTCGTTGGGTAATTCTATTAATTTATTAAAAAATCCATTGTTCTCGTACCGATTTAAATTAAATTCGACTTGCATTAGTGTTCAAATTGCATCTTAGTAACGTCAATCAGATCGGTTATTTTTACGAATGCACGGTTGCAAAGTTGCATTAACACTGTTGCACAATTAGGGCAAGGGGAGTCCAATACGAAAAATTAAAACGCCTTAAGTTTCCTAGTTGAATCAATAAACAGATGTCAGTGGTTTAATTTTCAACGTAAAGAAAGTATTTCTTAGAGCTCATTTGAGGAACCGAGCCTTCCGGGAAGCCTTACCGGATTGTCTATTGCCTCCAGAACCTGTTCTGACAAGATGGAGTTGACGATACAAAAAAGGTTCGTTTATTGCTATTCATAATTTGGTTGTGCAAGTCTAAATTAAATGAAACATTTCGGGTTATTATGGAATTTGACTCCGCAGTGTCAAAATACATGGTAGTATTTCCAACAAAAGCATCTCCAACATAATTTGGCTTATACAGAAACCCATTTTACCATCTAAAAAACAAGTATAACTAGATTAGAGACCATTGGGCTGACCTTAATTCAGTCTGTGGATATAATAGAGCAATTGTATAAACGACTGGAAGATACCCCGGGGAGATGAGGCGAAATGAGATTTAAAATGCTACAAGATACTTAAAAAAAATACCGGCTAACAAGAAACTTGGCTAAAGCGCATATTTTTGACAGTCAGGGGGAAAATGTTGTTTATTTTTTTTACACTCGAAAATGCTGCAAGTGTCAACTGTTACAAGTGAGACATAATTCATTTAACCGTGAATCGTTGATAATTGAGGCCATATTTTAATCCACAACGTATTTCCCTTTTTATATAAGCTTTCTTTCACTTTTTAATTCCGTTTTCCAACGACCAGTCATTCGTGACTTCGAAACAATGTCAGAATTTAGATTTTTATTTTCCCCATTTCAGACAAACGTTTACCGTAAAACTGACCACTCCGTAATAACCATAAACGACGTAATAACCGTTGACACGCTTGTCATTTTCGAATCGAGGTGAAGGCAACAGGTAATTAGTTTACACAAAATAATCACTGCACTCCGTTCAGTCGGCTAACGATTCTGTCAACTTTTCGTCCTTTTTTCCAGCCGTAGAAACGCAACAGCAATGGCTGTCATTGCATGATTCCAACATCTTATTTTCCGATACGTTTCAGCGATACAATGAATCAGGGACTTTTTCTCCACCCGACTATTTTACTTTTACTAACCAATCGTGACGCCCATTACCGGCGAATTTTACCCAATCACGCACTGATAAAACGGCTAATTGAACTATAATTTTGCGGTTGCGTGTAGTACCTCAAAGTAAACACAAAGGCGAACGAACGAAGCAATTTTTTTATTAAAGTCGAAGCCGACCGTTTACGACCCTCTCACAAAAACCGGGGGTGGAAAAAACCCACCCTGTCATCTCACCGTCGAGGTTTATTGCCGCCTCATAAAACCCACCACTCGTTGTAGGTCTTCGTTGACCTCCCAATTTGTTTTGGTACCTGTCGGGCCAATAACCACATTTCGGGCTGAAAAAGCCTATAGCTTCTATAAAATGTAATTGACGGCAAAAAAATTTCTAGGGTTTTATATAATGAGAGTTACACAAGGCGGTACCGCGGTCAGTCTGCGTTGCGCCACGTTTTCGGCACATTCTTTACTTTTGAGGAATTTTTAAATTGAATCGATGCGATTTAGATTATCGTTTAGATCGGAGATAATCCACCGGAATTGGTTAATTAATTTGGGTACCGCGGTGGTACTGTTTTGCTTGAGTGAGGCTGCGGCGTTGATACTAACGGAGGCGGTGGTACCGGTGAAGGACTACTAATCAGAGGTACTAATCAGATAGTAGGTAATAAAAAGGGTGTTCAGTGGCTGCGACGACAGTACTACTTTCTTTGGTTTGCAGTTATAGTTTTTTCGTTATCGAATTTTTGCAATTATGGTACTCTTGCTAGTTGTTTGATAGTACCGTTAAGTCATATGTATATTAATAATAATAATTTTATTAGTTAAGTGGGTACAAATACCATGTGATAATAAGATACATAAATACATAATAAAATTCACATAACGGAAATAATATAACAAATTGTCAACACAGTTACTGAAGTACTTCTTGTTTTAAATCGCTTCACAGATAATTTTGTAACTTAAGTGAAGTTTGTTGTAAATTTTGGTGATAATATGATTAGAGAGTCCAGAATTTAAAATTTTGAAAATTATAAAATGTACCTTAATTAAATATCGGTACTGCCATGATACTAAATCTTCGACACTTACTTCCAGTGCTAGTTTCGTTCAATGTTAGTACTGCTTGAGTAATATGAGATAATTTGAATAGTTCTCTGTGGTTTTCAGTGATTGAAGCATATAAGATCGAGTTAAACAGATCTAGTTTGAAACATCATTACCAATAAAATAAATGATGAAAAAATGAAAGTACGACAACAAGAAAATAAATAAAAAATAACACACGAGTATGACAATAAAGTCTCAGTATTTCTCTAGCGCTAAGTGACTCACATTTGAAACACTAATTTCATCAATAAAATGTAAATTACACAAAGTGGGGTTTTATATAACGAAGGTTGCACAAAGTGGTACTGCGGTACGTCGTTACGTCACATTTTTGACTCATCTTGTAGTTTTGAAAAGTTTTTAAAACGAATCGGTTCGTTGTATGTTATCGTTTGGAGTGGTTGTCACCCACTGTCACTCGGCTTAATTAATTTGGGTACTGCTGTGGTACATTCTCGATACGTCGTTGCTTAATAAAAAATTATTAGTGTTAGTACTTCTTGAGTATAAGACAGTTTGAATAGTACTCTTTCGGGTACTTTGAATCCTTTGAATCTTCGATTTCGGTATCGCACTATTTACGTTCTGTTAATTGGCGCACTTTTGCTACCTCCTTGCTAATGATAGTGTCGATAGTACCGTTGAATCTAGTATGTGATTAGGTGGTACCGATTGGCGTTTCGCATTTTCCGCAAAAATCTAACCTGAATAGCACCAGGAGGGCCAAACCACAGGACTTTCCGTATCCATGGTACCGTCTTCAGAAGCACATCACTAAAAATCACTCTAGCCGGCGACCTTTAACCACCGATCACTAATTAACGAAAAGTTCATCCGCACAATTAGAAATCGCCGATCGTCTGTCCGATTCGTCGATCGCCGTCAGCTGGGTACCACCATGGTACCGCGTGTAAAAATCGCGCAATGTCACCACCGCGGATCACTAGGGTCACTATCAATCACTGCGCGGCACTCGATCTTGTGACCACGGCAGGTGCAAGTCAGGTGAGATAGTTGGCCATGGACGGCCTCGGCAGGTCGGCAAGGCGCGCACTGATCAAGAGTGCTCTGCTTTGGAATCGGTCGCCACCACTCACCGCGCTGTCATTCACCATAGAGACCAGTAGGAGGCGGCCGCCGCGGTGACAACACCCGAATCCTCCCACCACCCAATGGGTTCCCGAAACGGCCTGATGGTCCCCATCGCGCGAAAAACACCCTGTGTATGATAGAGGTAGCGGGATGACCTCAGCTGCCAAAGTCGCGGAGCGAGACGAACGATCGGCAAAAACAAACATGTTGGAGCGAAACGAAAGACGACAGTAGCTTATTGGTCAACAGAACAGGTACATGGAAGTTAAAAAGAGAAAAAACTAGTGCAGGTCGAGAGATAAAAAGAGGCAGAAGGCATAAGTTAGGAGAAGTGACGATAGAAAACGACGGGCGGTTTTCAGGCCGGAGGAAGGCTAGACGTACGTTACGGAGGCGGGACGGGGATTAGAACGAGAGGGAAGACGGTACGGGACGGAGGCGAATTTGTAACACATTTATTTTTTGATGGAAGATTTGTATGGAGTTAATTATTGTAAATAAAGCGGTTTTAAGGATAATCGGATCACGTGGTGCGGAGGCCATGTAGAGTGTTCACAGATTTTTTTTTAATTATGATTAGCTGTTTTTGCACAAGTTTATCTAAAAAATATATATATCTTGCTTTCTTTCATTTTCTTACGAAAAAAGTAAAAGTATCGCAATTTTTACTGTAGCACATTGGAATTTTGAATATTTCCATATATGGTGTGTTCGAAAATGATGTTGACTAAAGGTGCCTTTGTTTGCAGTTCCGCATATCGACGACTGACTTATGTACTTTTCTCCAATAATTGTTGAAAACTGTTTAAATTAATTTTAGAAGTTTGTTATCAAAGACATGTCGGATTTGATTCAAAAATAGTTTGCTTCCACAGTCGTCGTCGACAACTATTTTATTTTTTTATTTATTTAGAGTAAGTAAAATACTACCGGGAAATACCAAATCATATAGAATTATAGTGGACCAAAAGCTATAAGGTTATATGGCCATCATAAAATTATCCCATTGTGTCGAAGTTAAGTTGTTTACAATAGAAAAGGTTTTAGGGTCGTAAATAACGTGTCCAATGGAGCTCGACCGGCTGTTGTGGTTTCGTTCAGGGACGGCTTTCACTAAATATGTAAATCCACCACTCCATTATTTCTTTACTACCTGCAGCCGCTGAGGGTTCCGAAATCACCACTCGCTTTGAAAGCCGGCCCCGTTAAATATGAGCAAGAAATGTTGAGAAGACGATTTATTGCCAACCGGGTAGCTTAGTGCGAACCACACAAAGGGGGTACTTATTTGCGGTCAACTACTTTTATAATGGTCATATAACCTTATACCTTTTGGACTAGCATACATTGCTTTTAATACGTTCATTTCAAATAATAAAGGAGATCGTGCAATCGAAACATTAAAATATGGAAAACTGAAAACTCCAAAAATTGAAAAATTCTCAAAATTGAATGCTGAAAAACTGGGAAATCGAAAACTTGAAAAATCGAGAAATCAAAAAATCGAACCACCAAAAAAATCGTAAAATTGGAAAACCAAAAAACTGAAAAATCAAAAATTTTAAAATTCGAAAAATTGAAAAACAGAAATAACGAAAAACTTAAAAATCGAAACATCGAGATATAGAGAAAATCTAAAATTTTAAAAAATTGAAAAACAGAAAAGTAGAAACATCAAAAAAAAAAGAAAAATGGAGAAATAGAAAATCCAAAATTTAAAAAAGCGGAAAATTAAAAAATCGAAACAGAAAAATCGACAAGCCGGAAAGTCGAAAATCTGAGAAATCGAAAAATTGAAACATCTAAAACGTCAAAAACTGGAACATTAAGAAATTGAAATACGCAAAAATCGAAAACGTTAAAAATCTAAATATGTATTGACAAAATTTTAAATTAAAAGAAATCCATAAAATCGAAAAATTGAAAATAGAAAAAAAGAATAATGAAAAAATCCGAACACCGAAATCTACATAAATAGAAAAATCTAAAAATTGGAAAAATCGAAAAATATAAAAACCGAAAAATTGAAATATCAAAATATTAAAAACTCCAGAAATTGAAAAATTCCCAAAACTGAAATGTTAAAAAATTGAGAAATCGAAAAATCCAAAAATTTTAAAAATCGAAAAACTGAAAAATCGAAATTCGAAAAATCGTCAGAAGATCGTGCAATGGAAAAATTAAAATATGGACAAATATTGAAAACTCCAGAAAGTCAGAAAATTCGAGAAATACAGAAAATCTACAATTTAAAAAATCGAAAAACCGAAAAGTCGAAAAATCGAAAAACTGAAAAATCGGGAAATAGAAAATCCAAAATTTAAAAATTAAAAATTGAACAATTAAAAACTAAAAAATCGAAAACTGGAAATATTTTTAAAACTAAAATGAAAAATTAGGAAATCGAAAAATCGAAGCATCGAAAAAGCCAAAAACTGAAGCATTAAGAAATTGAAATATCAAAAATCGGAAAGTCGAAAAATAGAAAAATTGAAATACACAAAAATCGAAAAGTTAAAAACTGAAAAATTGAAACATTTTAAATAAAAAAAATTATAAATCGAAACCTAGATAAATTGAAAAATTTGAAAGTCGAAAAATTGAAAAACCGAAAAATTTAAAAAGCGATACATTAAAAGTCGAAAAATCAAAAGTTTTAATAAAAATCGGAAAACCGAAAAATCCGGAAATCGAAAATCCAAAATTTCAGAAATCGAAAAATTGAAGAATTGAAAACTAAAAAATCCGGAAATTGAAAGGTTCCAAAACTGAAATGAAAGATTGGAAAACAAAAAAATCGAAAAGTCGAAAAGGTCGAAATACTGAAAAATCCCAAAATAGAAAAGTCAAAAAATTTAAAAATGGAAAAAAAAATTGAAGACATAAAAAAATTAAAAATTCCAAAACTGAAATAACGAAAAACCGAATATCGAAAAGTAGAAAAAGCAAAAACTTAAAATGCTGAAAAACTGAAAATGGGAAAATTGAAATGAAAAACTGAAAAATCCAAACACCGAAAAGTAGGGAATTCGAAAATTCGGAAAATCAAAAATTCTAATAATTGAGAAATTGGGGAAAGGAAAAATTGAAAACTCGAAAAGCCGGAAAATCGAAAAACCAAGAAATCGAAAAATTGAAACATCGAAAAAGTCAAAAACTGAAACATTAAGAAATTAAAATACGCAAAAATCGAAAAGTTAAAAATCTAAATATTGACAAAATTTTAAATTAAAAGAAATCCATAAAATCGAAAAATTGAAAATAGAAAAAATGAATAATGAAAAAATCGAAACACCGATATCTACATAAATAGAAAAATCTAAAAATTGGAAAAGTCGAAAAATATAAAAACCGAAAAATTGAAATTTCAAAATATTAAAAACTCCAAAAATTGAAAAATTCACAAAACTGAAATGTTAAAAAATTGAGAAATTGAAAAATTTTAAAATCGAAAAATCGAAAAACTGAAAAATCGAAATTCGAAAAATCGGAAGATCCTGCAATCGAAAAATTAAAATATCGACAAATATTGAAAACTCCAGAAATTCCGAAAATTGGAGAAATACAGAAAATCTAAAATTTAAAAAATCGATAAACCGAAATGTCGAAAAATGGAAAAACTGAAAAATCGGGAAATAGAAACTCCAAAATTTAAAAAATCCGAAAATTGAAAAATTAAAAACTAAAAAATCGAGAAATTGAAAAATTCCAAAACTAAAACGAAAAATTGGAAATCAAAAAATCGAAAATTCGAAAAAGTGAAAAACTGGGACTCTAAGAAATTGAAATGTCAAAAGTCGAGAAGTCGAAAAATCAAAAAACTGAAAATTCGAAAATTTAAACATTTGAAAAATTGAAAAATAAAAGTGTCTTAGAATTGAAACACTAGAAATTGAGAAATAGAAAAATGTAAAGTTTAAAACGTGAAAAATTAAAATATCGAAAAATTGAAAAATCCAAAGAATAAAAAATCGAGAAACTAAAATGTCGAAATACTGAAAAATCTCAAAACCAAAAAAGTCAAAAAACTTAAAAGTGGAAAAAAAATTGAAGGAACAAAAAAATTAAAAATTCCAAAACTGAAATGACGAAAAACTGAAAATGGAAAAGTCGAAAAAGCGAAGTCAAAAAATCGAAAAATTAAAATGCTGAAAAACTGAAACATGGGAAAATTGAATTGAAAAATTGAAAAATAGATACACCGAAAAGTAGGGAATTCGAAAATTGGAAAAATCAAAAATTCTAATAACTGAGAAATTGGGGAAACGAAAAATTGAAAAATCGAAAAATTCAAAAACTGAAACATCAAGAAATTGAAATATCAAAAATTGAAAAATCGAAATACACAAAAATCATAAATCCAAAAAATTGAAAATTGAAAAATTGAATAATGAAAAAATTGAAAAATCGAAATACACAAAAATCATAAATCCAAAAAATTGAAAATTGAAAAATTGAATAATGAAAAAATTGAAACATCGAAATCTCGTTAAATAGAAAAATCGAAAAGTTGAAAAATCGAAAAATTTTTAACTCCACAAATTGAAAAATTCCTAAAACTGGAATTTTAAAAAATTGCGAAATCGAAAAATTCAAGAATTTTAAAAACCGAAAAATGGAAAAATTGAAAAATTGAATAATGAAAAATTCGAAACATCGAGATCTCCATAAATAGAAAAATTGAAAAACAAAAATTGGAAAGTCGAAACCTTGAAAAACCGAAAAATTAAAAAGTCGAAAAATCAAAAGTTTTAATAAAAATCTAAAAATCGAAGAACTTAAAAATCGAAAAATCTAAAATTTAAAAAATTGAAAAACCGAAAATTCGTCACGACAAAAAACCGAAACATCGAGAAATCGAAAATCCAAAATTTGAACAATCGAATAATTGAAAAATCGGAAAATTGAAGAATTAAAATCTAAAAAAACCGCGAAATTGAAAAGTTCCAAAACGGAAATGAAAAATGGGAAATCAAAAAACTGAAAAATCGAAACATCGAAAAATCGAAAAGTCGAAAAACCGAGGAATGGAAAAATCGAAACATCGAATATGTCAAAAACGAGGACTTTTGGAAATTGAAATATCAAACGTTGAGAAATCGAATTCT